CATTTTTAACGCGGCCCCGGCTGTCATCGGGGCCTGTTACAGTCACTCAACTGCAGCAACATTGTTCTCAAGTCAGCGGAGCCCGGGACACCTCCCTTATTACCATACCACACGGGGGATTTGGCCGCTGGGTTTCTCTGCAGAGCACCACACCGGGCTCGGTGGCCAGAGGTGGCCAATTAGCCCTTTCTGGCCCACTCCTCGCCCTCCATCCCTCCGCGGCGCTCGCGGCATCTCCGACCCGCGGGGCTGCTGGCGCCCGTCCATCTCCGGCGGTGCTGTGGGAGGGGAAGGTGACCCCCTTTTCCTGTGCCAGGCTCCCTGGCAACGGGGCCTTTCTTTACGAGCCGCCTCCTCCACCCCCTGACGAGGAGAGGGGCTGTGAAAGCCCCGCTGCACTTTTGAACTTGGTGCCGCCGCGCTCAGTGGCTGCGCGGGGCAACCCCACCGGAGGGGCCGAGCCCAGCAGGGACCCGGTGCAATTGCCCAGAAGTTATTAATAGGCTGGGGAAGAATGTGATGGGCTTGGGGAAGGGGTGAGATGAGGGAGGGGGAGAGAGAGGGAGGGAAACGGGGAGGGTCGGCGGAAGGGAGATGGGGGGATGAAGGGAGAGGCAAGAGCGATGGTGTGTGGGGGAGACAAAGAGGCAAAGGGAGGAGATGGGCACCTGCACGGGCAGACAAGGGCACACAAAGGCTGGAGCTCTGAGTCCTGCTTGCCCTGCACCTTGTGCAGGTCTCTCGTGGCTGGCCCTGCTGGTGGAAAGCTGCCTGACCCTGGTGCTGAGGGATGGAGAGGGCAGCCACACCAGGCCTGGGGGTTCAGGCCTTGCTGGAGGCATCCCTTTCCCGAGATGAAATATTGCTCAGGGTTCATGAGCCAAATTTGCCATCTAGTGGCTCTGGGGACCATTGCAGAGCGACCCACGCGGCAGCGGTGGCCACGGGGGGGACAGGGCACAGGCATGGTGTGGCCAGTGCTCTGCACAGCATCTTCTACTCTGAGCCCAGAGTGCTTCTGCTTTTGCTTTACTCACAGGGCCCAAAAAGTCTGTGGTCCCTGGAGTGATGTGATCTTGTTCTGGCTGCCTTGCAGGGAACCGACTGCAGCCACTCTGCCAGGCTTGAGGACCCACAGCATGGTTCAACTCATCACTTTAATGCAGCAGGGTCTGGAGAACAGAAGCGTGTCCCATGGCTGTGAGAGTTACACTGTAGGGAGAACCTGGAAGCACCATTTGGTACCTGAGGCACTGCAGTGCTCTTTGAGGCTTTACATCTGCTCTCTTTGTGCTTGCAAAGGTATGGACACGATTCTCTAATGTACTTGTCTCCTCACGTCCCTCTCTGCCACCAGCCAGCCCTTTCAGCAAGCACAGGAGCCTCCAAGTTACACGTGGCCATTGGAGACTGTCAGAGCTGGGGAGAAAAAAGTGCTGCTGGGGGTTGAAAAAGGGGTAGCACCTCTTTTGGGCTGTCACCCGGGAGGATTTCTCTTTGTAAACACCTCTGCCTAGGTCAGAGAGAGCTTTGGCCATGCTGGCTGTGGGAGTGACTGGCAGGCAGTGGGGGATCATAGAACAGTTTGGGTTGGAAAGAAGCTTAAAGACCATCTAGTTCCAAGCTGCCTGCCATGGGCACCTCCCAGTAGCCCAGGTTGCTCAAAGCCCCATCCAGCCTGGCCTTGAACACCTCCAGGGATGTGCTGCAGGCAGGGGAAAGAAAGTGGCTCAGTGTGAGTCAGTGTCCATAGCTTTAATGCACAGCCCTCCTGAGCAAGACCACATACATCAATAAATAAAATTAATAGTAATAATTAGAGCAGCCCCAACAAACCCAGCAGTCACCAGTTTGGCTTCTGTGTTCTCCACTGTGCTTTCGTCAGCAAGGGGTGCTGCTGTTTGACCAATGCAGGAGGCACAGAAGAAGCACCATCTCCCTCCCCTTCTCACTGGGGGTCTCTGGAGGAGCAGATCTTCAGCTCCCTGGACTCCAGCCTGGGTAGAGTCTTCCAAGGCACCCGTGGGCTCTCCCCCTGCTTCATGCCCAGCATCACGAGGCCTCAGCGGCTCCCTTGCCCTTGTCCCAGCCGAGGTGGCACCCAGCTGAGGTGTTTCCCATGCAGACATCATGCACCCCGGGCCCAAAAAATGCCTGAGGGCAACTGGCTCTAGCACTGCTTGTGGCGTTCCTCCAGGGCAACATAAGGCACCACGACAGGCCAGGAGTCACTGGGCCAGTATTCCATCTTGGGCTTGAACGACGGCAGCTCGTAGGTGACGTCGAAGTAGATGACCAGTGGGCAGCAGTAGAGGAGGGACATGGCTATCAGCACATGCCTGGCAAGGAAACCAAGGAACTTGTTAGTTGGCCAGGGGTAACCCCAGCTGCTCCCCCTGCACCTTGGAGCCCTCTGTGACTGGCATTGCCACCCCAAAGCTAGAGCCAAGGGGTACAGCAACGGCAGACAAAGGTCCCAGTCCTGTGATGCTTGTGAACTGTGGGTCCCACAGGGTTTGTCCCTATGGGGGAATCCTGGAGGAGCTCTATGAGCTGGGGTGGGGACAATTGTCTGCACAGAGGGGTTGGATTGGGGGATGTAGGGGACTTAAGCCCCAGCTCATCCCTTCCACCTTGCTTGGCCCAGCCCAGCAGCGCTGGGTGTCCATCTCAGTGACACCAGTGGTTTGTGAGGGTGAGTGTGGGCACGTGTGCTGCCTGCAGCATGTACAGTCACCCTTGGCCAGGGACCAAAATCTCCTGCCCGAGCCAATCAGGAACTTTCAGTTTGGCTGTTAGGATGACTCCAAGAACACTGCACCTCATGCAGCTTCCTGGGAGCAGATGCAGCCCTTTGAAAGCTGCTTACCTGGAGGGGCCTTCAGAACAGTTTCCCTTCCAAACCAGCATTTGGGAAGGGCTAGAAGACAGTAAAAGGACCGAATCCTTGGCCTGGGGCCAGGGTGGGGAGAAGCATCAACAGCAACAGCTGAAAAGGGGGAGAGGGTTGGACAGAGATGCGGCTGCTCCCTGGTTGACTATCACATCCCTGCTGCCATCTCCCCTTCTCTGTGGCCCTTCAGCCCCTGAAATATTTGAGCTGGGTCCCTGTGCTGGAGTCCTTACCAGAAGCTGTGCAGGTAGGGGAAGTTGACTGCCTGCCAGAACCCACAGAGCCACCGGTCACTGATCCAGCTGCTGATGGCCAGTACCCACCACAGGACCATGGCTGCGGCCATCTGGTGAACCCGCCTGTCACTGCACCTGGAGGACACAGCAAGGGAGGGGAAGTTCAACATCGTTTTGGAAGGAAAGTCAGTTTTAAAGAAGTCTGGTTCCCATCTGCAAATGGTACTGAACCACGGCAAAACCCAGCGAGTTTCTCCTGGAGGATATCCTTCAAACCACAAGAACTGGAGTCGTGCAGAGAGGGTTTCTTTCTGTGGGTGAGGAGGGTGCTAGGAGAGGCCAAGGCACTCCTGCCTTTCTCCTCAGATCCTGGTGGGTTCTCCCAGTCCCACAATGGTTCCCAAATCCCCCACAAAGAGGAAAGAGCTGCAGAGGTGGCAGTAGGGGAGGAGAATCATAGAATCATTTTGGTTGGAAGAAACCTTTAAGATCATCAAATCCAACCATTACCCAAGCACTGCCAGGTCACCACAACTCCACGTCCCTCAGCACCACATCTCCATGTCTTTAAAACCCTCCAGGGGTGGGGACTCCACCACTGCCCTGGGCAGCCTGGGACAGGTCTTGACAACTCTTGGAGGGAAGAAATTGTTCCTCAAGGACAACCTCAACCTCTCCTGGCTTTTTTGTCTTGTCCTGTCTCTTGTCCCCTGGAAGAAGAGACCAACCTGGCTCCAGGCTCCTGTCAGGAGCTGTGCAGAGCCAGAAGGTCTCCCCTGAGCCTCCTTTGCTCCAGGCTCAGCACCCCCAGCTCCCTCAGCTGCTCCTCACCAGATCTGGGCTCTAGACACTATCCCAGCTTTGCTGCCCTTCTCTGGCCACAGTCCAGCCCCTCAAGGTCCTTCTTGGAGTGAGGGGCCCAAAACTGACCCCAGGATTTGAGAAGATACACTTCTCCCATGGATTGTCCCCTTTCTGTGTGACACCTGGGCCAGATGACCTCCTGGCATCCCACTGCCCACGGTCCTGCCTGTGCCTCTTCCTGGTCCCTCCCAGGCTGCCCCAATTCCTTGCTGGGCTGATGGTCCAATATGTGGCTGATGAAGACTTGGGCTTAACTCCCTGTTGTGCACAGAGTCACTGCCACACGGGAGTGTGCCAGGAGCACCCAGTAGCCTGCAGATAACCTCTCCCAGAGCCCTCCTCACTTTTTCAGCTCACGCCAGGTCAGGTACAGCAGGTGGAAGGCGATGCAGTTGAGCACGTAGGCATTGAAGGCTGGTTTGACAAAGGACATCAAGGTACTGATCACAGTGATGGCACCAGTCAGACAGAAGAAATGTTTCCTAAAGGGAATTGGGAGTGAATGTCAGTGTCCCCAGGGTTGACAGCATGGAAGGATAAGGATTGGAGAGGTCCTGGTCATCGCCAGAGAGAGGAAACCCTTCTCCAGCACCTCTGATCTGTTTGCACAGGGCTGACAGCCTCTGCAGTGGTCCTGGCAGGAAGGCTGAGGTATCTGCTTGGAGCTGGGATATAAAGCCCCCAGGCTGGTCCATGCCAGAGTGGGGAACGCAGCCCAGAAGGTGACTCGTGGACTTTCACGGTGATGCCAGAGGTGAGCATCGAGGGGTGAAGGCATCGGGAGCTCTGCCCAGGGAGGGGCTGCAGAGCTGGAGTCCCAGCGGGGCAGGGGCTGGAGCCGTGCAAACATGCAGATTTGGGCTGACTGAACAACAATAGGGCTCAGAGGAGCCTTTCACATGCAAATCCCTTCCCAAGTCCCTTCCCCTCTCCCCCAACCATGTCTCCACCGTGAACTCCTGGTGACCTCCTCATTGGCATGGGAAGAGCAGACTTGGGGCAGCCTCTGTGAGGCTTCTAACTGGGCTGGCTCAGCGGGTCCAGCGAGCCTGTCAGGATGGGACCATCCTCTGAGCACAGCCCTGCTGGGTCCCTGCTTCTGCTGATCCACCCCCATCCTTTCTGCTGAGCTCCTCTGGCCCAGCCAGCCCTCCTGCAAACAACCTACGAAATGTGGGGTGTTAACCTGGACCTGTTGTCCTATAGGAAACCCCCTCAGCCTTCAGGGAGAGCTCTCTGTGGATGGGAGGGGATGCTGCAACAGTCTGACAACGAGGGGAGTTGAATGTCAGTGCTCAGGAACATTTAATTTCCTAATTAATTCTGAAAATCTCCATGCAAAGTTTCCTCTGCAGACAAACAAAGACAAACAGCTCCAGCTGACAGCCCTTCCCACGGGAGGGTTTCTTGCTCTTCCTCTGTCAGCACATCTACCACTGAGTGATGGAGGGTCTGATCCCAAAGCAAACTGCAGTAACCCCAGTGCTGACCCCTGGCAGGGGAGCTCAGGGGGGTCTGTGGGTCACACACATCAATGTCAAGGTCCAATCGCTCCCCTCAGGCCCTGCAACTCTGTGTCCCTCTGAGGCATACCTGCTCTTGATGAACCTGGGGAAGTAAACGTGTGGGTACCAAAAGGAATATGCCACAGCCAACGCCCAGAGGATGGAGAGCTCGTCCAGGAGTTGTCCCACATAGCTCAGGGTCATGTGAAAGTACATGGAGAAGACACCTGCAAGGAGCAAGGACATCTGGTGTCAGCAGAGCTCAATCCCAGCCTGGCAGGTTCCTTGGGGTCATCCCCAAAGACACGCCATCCCTGAAGAGCAGAGCATGGACCCTGGTGTTACTGGAGACCTGAGTGGGCCTGTCCACACAGCTCCATGGGGACTGACTGGGCTGGAGGCTGAGTCCACAGCCAGCAGGAACCACGAGCTGCTGGGCTTCAAACGGCCACGGCTCTTCAGTTTCCTACCCCAGCTTGCCCCTGTGCTTTGGCCACTAAGAACCAGCCTCTGAAGGCACCATGAATGAACAGTCAGGTACTCTGGCAACCTCTCTGGTCTCCTCAGAACCTTGGCACCCACCTACACCGAAGAGCAGGCCAGAGACAAAGTACAAGGGCACGGGGCGCTGCTGGCGGTACTGCCGGTTCAGGTAGAGCAGGGCAGGAGAAAGGACAAAGAAGCTCACATTGCTGATCTGAAAAACAAGAGGCACGTTCAGCTCATTGCACGATCTTGGGCAAGCCCCCTCCCACCGTGTGCCTCCGTGTCTCCCTGCGTGGAGAGGTTACTGATCCCTGGTGGAAAACATCCCAGGGGAGCGGGCGTCACTCTTGGCGTGGGGAGAGGGCAGAGGCGTTTCTGGAGCAGCAAGGCTGGAACTGGAAGGACAGCTCTTGCTGTGACAGCAATGGCTGCAGACCTCTGCTCTCCCTGCAGGCACCTCTGAGGCCAGTGGGTCCAGGGTGAGCTGGTGTGCCCCATTCTGGAGATGGTTTAGCTCCAGCAGCCCAGTGTCTTCCAGCAAGCTGCCCGAGCTCTTCTGTTCGCAGCCATCTCCCGTCAACCCAGACCTGCCAGAAACTCCTTGGATGGCTTCTGGCCCCTTTCAGCCAGTAGCCAGCCCCTTGTGAGGGGCTGGGTGGTTGTGAGGAGAGAGGCCCCCACAGCAAGCCACGGTCAGGAAAATGATTGGTAAGAGGGGAGTGGGTGCAGTGGGGAGCAGCAGGACAAGCAGGATGTGGGGAGGTGACAGTCGGCAGGATTGAGGTGACATCCTGTAGTGTCATGTGCAAAGCTGTCTGGCCTGGGGGGAGGAGGTATTCTGGACACTAGTAATTACATAAAGTCATAAACCTCCTTTAAACATACCTGGCAGATGAACACAGTGAAATTATTCTGCCCTGATTTCCAGCTCTGCAGAACTGCTGCATTGACAGACTTTGATTTGTCTGGGGAGGGGGGGATGGAACTGGGCTCAGCCTGGTGCTGCTGCCTGGGCTGGCTGAAGGTGGCAATGCTCTGAGGACTGGCAGATGCTGACAGGCCAAATGTGGGAGCTGAGGAGGAGCAGTGAGTGCCCAAAGCCTGGACCTGTCTGCTGGATCAGGCCTGCTCCACCCTGCAGCTACAGGGGAGTTGAGTCTAAAGTGATCCTGAACCCTCCATGGCTTCTTACCTTGGTTTTTTCACCCGATTTTGAGAACTTAGGGAAGGGATATCACAGGGAAGCAGACTCCCCAGGGAAAATCTTGCTTGTGACAAGTTGGAGCCATAGTGTGACGTTTTACCTGCCAGACAGCTCTTTGGGGCTTTGGAAGAGCAGGGCAGAGCCGTCTGCTAAAACACCATTTGGCAAGCCACCAGGATGACTTTTATCTCACCCTGACAATCTCTTTTCCTTTCATCTTCCAGCTAGGTGCTGACCTGGAGCCCAAACCTGGAATCTGACCTCCACAGCTGGAGTCTCACCCCACAGCAGCTCTTGCACCAGCTAAATGGCAGAGTCAACGCTTGGCTCCTGGTGTCCCATGGGATCTAAATTTCTGGTAACAGGGCTGCAAATCACAGGGATGTTCTCATGTAGGTGAAACACACTCTCTCCTATTCCAGAGGGAAATTCTAATCACACTTCATGTAAGGTCTCTATTCCCTTTTATGCCTGGAGATTAGCCTTGAATTTCACTTAGGCTTTGATGAAAGAAGTTGATGTTCCCATTAAGAGCAATTCCCCGGCCAAGTACTTTTCTATAGGTGTTTAGGGCCAAATCCAGACCTGTTGCCATCCCAGCTAGGAAAGGAGAAGTGCTGGTCCCAGGCCAAGTGCTTTTCTATAGGTGTTCAGGGCCAAATCCAGACCTGTTGCCATCCCAGCTAGGAAAGGAGAAGTGCTGGTCCCACTTGCACGCTTGAGGTCAAACTGTTCGGAAACGCTCATGAGACCAGACCGTGGGTTAAAGCAACAAGTGTGTTGCAAGCATCTCTTTTCTGGTGAAATGCTTAAAGAGGCTTTTGGAAGACAAGAAGGGACAGCAAGAAGAGAAACAATGCTTGAAGCAAAGGCAGCAAGTGCCAGCATGCAGGTCAAAGTGAGGAAATGCGGGAGGCTGCGATTGCGTACAGAGAGACCTGAGTCCCTGCTGCCATTGCAACAGTGCCATTAATTACATGATAGCAACGTTATCGCCTCATTAATTCAGTAGGAGAGGTGCAAGATCAGATGGCAGAGGGGAGGGATAATCAGGGAAACCGTGCCAATAGGGTCGAAAAGGCAGAGCTCCTTGTGGAGCAGCAGGATTTAGGGGAGAGCCTCTGAAAAACCCCACCTGGGGGCACACAGGGGCTGCATCTCATCAGATCCAAGCCCTGGTTTGTAAGTGCTGTCTTACATCTTCCCTCTAGGATGGGGCAAGCTCCATCTCAAATGTGGTTAGGAGGGTTTTGCTCCCAGTACTCCCATTAAGAGTCTCTGTTCATCCCAAGTCCTCCCAGCATGGTTTCTACTTACATCTAGCTGGGGTGTACAAGCCAGGAGGCACCAGCTCCCTCTGCTCAGGGTGCCAGAGAGGGTGGTGATAGAGCTGAGGTGTGATTTGACCTGTGACAATGCCTCAGCCCTGTGGTTTTCCAGCATGTAAGTCACGTCCCATCTCAGTGATGTCCCACTTCCTAAGGAGGGTGAGTTACTGCTCCAGGTGCCTGGGCCAAGCTCTCTTGTGCTTCTCTTCTTTCACCAGGAGAAAAGAGCAACTGGGATCAACAACATTAATCCTGGTGCATTAGCAGGATCATGGGAGAGGCCCCAGGGCTTCTGCAACCTGGCACTTTTGCAGCCTGAGATGGAGGGAGAGACCTGCAGAGAACTTGTTTGCGTCTCCATCCACGACAGGGCGAGAAGAAGCCCCTGACACAGACTGGGACAGGAGATGCTGCTGGGCAGAGCTCTGCCTGGCTCTGCGAGCATGGCAACCATGCAAGAGCAGCCAAGGCATGTGCTGGTCCTTACTCAGGCCAGGGATTTTCTGCAGTGAAAGGAGATCTCAGCAGGACTCGTTGCAGCACACTCATTCTCTCCAAGGCCAGCACACCGGCTGTAGCTGACGGAAGAGCCCCCAGGGCCAAAGGCAGAGGTGAACACCTCAGAGGTTCTCCAGACCTGTACAGCAAGTTCCTAACAGCCAGAGCTGCACAGCAGAAGATGAGGCTGCGTGTCCTGACATCACAACGTCGCTCCAGTGCTTTGGGGCAGGAAACAGCTGTTTGTTCAGGGTTTGCAGAGGGCTGGGAAGGAGCTGGTGTACTCCTGGGAGCAACTTCCTGGGCAGACAAGAGCACGATGCATCTGGGAATCCTTGGAGCTGCTGAGCCCATGGGGCACACGCCATGGCTCAGACCTGCTCTGACAGCAAGTGCTGGAGTGCTTCTCTGGGTGTATCTGGGCAACTGCACCTGCAGCTGAGCTTATCTCCACCAATCCATGAAGCACCCATGAGCTCTGGATATACAGCAGTGTCTGAGCTCCTGCTGCTTTGCCAGAGGATTTGGGTGTCATTACCAATATCCTGGCTCAGTCATTGCAGGAAAGAAATGAGGGTAGAAAGGCAAGTCCCTGACTGATGACCCTCAACACTACTACTCCCCTACGAACAGCCAGAAAGACAATAAATTTCTGGGTCACCGAGTCACTATAAATAGTTAGTGCTTTGTTGCTGAACTGCATCCAATCATGAGGCACCATTAGGTACTTAAATATACTGTTTACATTCTTTGCTCATACCCTTGGTGCTCATTTCTAATCAAAAGCATCCAAGCCAAACAGACCTGAGAGAGAATGTGGCTGGCACAGAGGAATTCCCAACAGCACGTTGCTGCTGCTGGCACAAAATTACCCTGCTCGAGCCCCAGGCAGTGTTGGGAAGAAGATGTTGAAGAGGATGCTCCATTGGGAAGCTTTGGTGATTTAGTGGTGCAGGAGTCTTGGGTAGGAGCTGGCTGGGTTCCCAGCTAGTCTAAAACTCTGGCAAACTGATGCTGAAGTGAGTATGGATATCATTATTTCAGGGCAGGCCAGTGAGATAAGGCCCATAAAGCTTCCTGCAGAGAGGAAGCAATTTGACTATGGGGAACAAATGGATGGAGGAGAGAAGAGAAGGACATCTAAGTTGTTAACATCGCATCTGAGGCAGTGCCCTGAGCCCCAGCTGGACCCACAACATGCAGATTCATTCATTCTCTCTCTCCATCTTAGGCTGGATGGGTGCAATTTCTGTAGTCCTCACTGCCCTGAGCCCCAGCTGGACCCACAACATGCAGATTCATTCATTCTCTCTCTCCATCTTAGGCTGCCAGTCGGGGTGCAATTTCTACAGTCCTCACTTCAGGGCACATCACAGGCAGCCTGATCCTGCAGGAGAGCCCAGAGCATGCAGAGGTCTCCCCTGGTGCTGCCACAAGGGCTGAGAGCCCAGCACTGAAGGGGAGATGCCCGTGGACGTGATGTTCCTCACTGCTTTGGGTCACAGGGTCTGGCCCTGAGCGTGGTGCAGCCTCTGGGGCTGTTGTCAGCTGCTCAGGCAGCAGCAGTTTTTAGGAGGGTTTGCTCTTTTCTCTCCCCTTGTTTGGACAGGAGATCACATGCCAGCCCTGAAGCAGGCAGCTGTCAAGGCAGGTTTGGGTTCCTGCTGCTTTCTGGACATGAGACTCACATTTTAGGACAGGAACTGCAGAAGTGGTACCAGGCCCCTGCACAGGCACCCTGCTGAGCTCCTGGCAAGAAGGACATCAGTGCAGGACCAAAGAAAGCTCCTTCTCTGCTGTGTTCACATGCAGAGAGGAACAAGGGCTGGTTTAACCACTGGGAAAAATCCTGAGGGGGTTTGCTCTGCCCACATCTCTCTGTTCCTTGGTATAGCACTACTCTGCATCTGTGGGGAAGCACATGTTGGAGAAGTTTTCCTCTCCTGGAGAAAAGCTGTGTCTGAGTCCTGCCAAGTGAAAATCCATCCTGACAACCCTGATGCCTCAATGGTGGCAACATGGGAGATGGCTGTGGCTAGTAGGGACCTCAGTCTAGAACTAAGCACATGGGTAAGATATTTGGGAATAGCCACCTCATTTCTCTCTACAGCTGCCTGACAGGAGGTTGTAGTGAGGTGGGGGTTGGTCTCTTCTCCCAAGTAACCAGTGATAGGATGAGAGGCAATGGGCTGAAGTTGCACCAGGGGAAGTTTAGATGGAATCTTAGGAAGAATTTATTCCCTGGCAGAGTGGTGAGGCCTTGGCCCAGGCTGCCCAGGGAGGTGCTGGAGTCCCCAGCCCTGGAGGGGTTCAAAAAACATGTAGATGTTGCACTTGGGAATATGGTTTAGTGGTCATGGTAGTGCTGGGTTAATGACCGGACTTGATCTTGGAGGTCTTTTCCAACCTGAACGATTCTATGATTCTATGAATTTAGAAACCTGTTGCACAATGTGATCTAGGCAGATAAGAGTTAAAGTTTCATGGGAATTAGAGGCATTTGGGTCCTAAAAAAGGTGGTTATGCATCTGGGCATACTGGTGCCTAGCAGTGTGCCACAGAGAAGTTCAACATGTAAGTGCTTTTGGAGAGCTCCTGAGATATTTCTGGGTGTGTTGAGGGTCCTGAGCCACTTTAACAGCCTGGATGTAAATCAGGATCCTTGAGAACATGGGATCTCAGCTCCCAAGACACAACTGAATGCTGCTTAGGGACTAAACTAGGAGGTGAGGCAAATTCATCTCCCAGGCTGAATTCTGATTTTAAAAAATATCTTTCAGACTTCCTGCTCTCTGGGAAATCAGCCCCTCTCCAGTGTGGCCAGTGACACTGCAAACCACAGAGGATTTTGGCACCTCCAGGTCCACTGGAAACGCTGATGTGAGTACAAGTGACTTCTGCACCTCCCTGCTCTGCAGCTCTGTGCCCATCCACCAGGAATGCAGTGCCCATAAAGAGACAACAGCACAACACATGGAGGCCAGAGGGGAGCAGGATTTGGTCTAGACTGGTAGATCTTTATTTGTCAAGTGTCTCAAAGAGAAGGGACTTTATACAGCCTGAGCATCCCTCCTCTGAGACCCTGGCTGGGCAATCAGAGCTGGGGAGCTGCAGGGGCTTATCCTCATTACAGGCAATTTGTTAAAAGCAGGAAATGCTTTAAAAGAAAAAAAAAAAAAAAGAGGAAGAGGCATTTCCATGAGAACAAGAACTTCTAGTGTTTGAGAGTAATTGCTAAAAGTTGTAAACAAGGCCTCTGGAAGGTTGTAAATCCACATGCCTCATAGCCCTGCTAGCCTGTAATTGCATGGAGGTAGAAGGACACGCTCGCAGAGCCTGGTTATCTACCAAGGTCTCCCCAGATGGATAAGGATATTTCCAGTCATGCTTAAGCCAGGAGGCTGCATTCAAGGGATTGGCTGTGGCTGGCTGGAGCCTGAATTATAAAGGATCACAGGAGGTGAAGCTGGCTCAGCATCAGCTTTCCTTCATCTTGAGTTCTGGATTCCCAACCTGCCCACCATGGTTCATGCCAGTGCTGTCTCTCGTTTTGCCACTCCTGTACGTTTGGCTGGAATATATGAGCCCTGTGTGGAACTTAGCCCAGCTGGCAGGAGAGCTGCAGGACTGGTATAACAGGCTCTTACAAATCTGAGCTAAGGCACTGCACTGGAGATTTCTTGCTGGGAACCCAGCCTCACACGTGCCAGAAGGACCCCTGACCCCAGCTCCCTTCGTCAGCAACCTCCAACAGCGGGAAGTTCAAAGGAGGGAGGGGGAGGAGAGAAAGCCCAGTGGTCCCATCTGCACGCCCAGCAGCAGCCCCGAGGAGCCCCACTCACAGTGTTGTAGTACTCGGCGATGAGCGCCGAGCGCTCGAAGTTGCCTTCGCACCAGTCGACCTCGGCGCTCTGGTAGGAGAACACGCTCGGCATCCTCGGGTCACCTTGGCCAAAGGGAGAGGAGAGGGTCAGTTCCTGGCCCCCGAGGGGAAGGAGGTGACCCCCACCCCACCCTGCCTGCCCCTCGTGCCCCAGCACGGCGTCCTTACCCCGCTACCAAAGACTCGTCCTCGCCCCGGCGCGCTCCATGCTGCACAACGTTCCTTCCTCCCCGCGACGCAGGGGCGACGGGTCACCCTAGGAAATGTTCTTGGACTCTGAGCCTGGGAGTGGTTGCCACAGCCCCATCCATGGCATTGGCATCTCCAGCTGGGGGTCGGTGCTGCCCCACGATGCTGCCTCACGATGCTGCCTTGCTTCAGCCCTGTCCTCGTCACACTGTCCTCTCCCTACTCTTCGCTTTCTTTATGACTCAGATCTTTTTGCCAAGAGGACTTCCCTGAACTCTGTGGGCTGTGTACTACCTTTTGGGAGTGGATAGCTTTACAGGCTTTATTGCTCATTGGCTCTATTCCTATGAGTTGCTTCTCAGCATCTTCCTGAGGGCTGGAGCTCGCCTGACGTGAGCTTAGCCCTGGAGCACCAGCACAGACCCTGGGTGTTACCAGAGTCCTCGGGGTGCAGAGCGAAGGCTCTGGGAGGTGTCTCCTCACTGGCAGGGATTTCACTTTGGGTGTGCTCCCATGCAAACACTATCCTGGTATCCCAGGGAAAAGCAGCAGAGCTTCACTCCTCACATGGGCTTTCTACTGCCAGGTCCCCCAGCCTGGCCCCTGGCCGTGGCAAAAGCTGCAGTTACAGGTGAGATTCTCAAAAAAATCCAACCTTTTGCCAGTTTTAATTCCCCATGCTAAAGACTTTCCTGTCCTCAGGGTGAACATTATTTCTCAGCCTTTTTGAAAAACCAACAGCTCTGATCCACTTTCCAATTTGATGTGTTTTGTTTCAATCCTTGAGACTCTGGACCTATTTTAGAAGCTGATCGATGGGTGCCAACCTTAGAGGTGTTGGAAGCACCATCCAAACGTCAGCAGCTGGGTATTTGGTACACAAGAGCCACAGAAATTCCCTGGAGCTGAGCAGTGAAGTCCCTGGATGCAATGTTGAACTAACACATCTGGCTGTGCTCCTCTGGCTCTGCAGAACAAGCAGGTACTGGGAGGACACCAAGCACTCCAGTAGCTTCTCTGAGCTCCTGAGGAGAAGAGCTTTCTTTTCTTTGAAAATCCTTTCAGCTTCGGGTTTAACTCAGGGAAGTTTATCTTAAAACCACTCACGGGTTGATGGTGTTCTTGCAGAGAAAGAGCCAAGTCCCTGTTTACAGCAGTGTCAGCTGAGCAACACCGCTGAGTTCAGCAGCTAGGGTAGGTGTGCAGTGGTGTGGAGTCACCACAGCTTCCTCTTCCCAAGAAGTTCAAAGGGAAAAAACACGGGAGCATAACACTAATACAAACAAGCTCCTCTGTAACCTCCTGCTCCAACCAGATAAACTGAGTTGTGGAGAAACCTCCACCGTTCTTTTACAACTGCAAGGTAACGATGCCCTCTCTTACATCTAGGCTGGCTGGTTCCCCAGAGCAGGTGAGATCCCAGCTACAGAGTAAGAATAAAAGAGATGGTGGGCAGATTGGTTTTGAGATCTGCCTCTTTGTGCTCTTGGGTTTCCACGTGCTCGTTCCCACCGCGGTGACTCCTGATCTCCACTCTGCATTATGCTTCTACAGCGATGCAAGGGGTTGTGTAGGGCCAAAAAGAGAATCGAGCTCAAGATAGTAAATCCCATCTGCTAGCTGAGCAGATGTCAGTCAAGGGATGGTGAAGAGTGGAGGAGACATGAGGCAGAAGAAGAAAAAGGGAAGAGAAGCATCGAAGCAGCGACCAGAGTGGCTGCTGCCTGGCTGCTCACCTCTCATCCTATCCTGGCTTACCTGTGATCCCTGGAGATGGACCAGCACTGATTCCACGGGGTGAGGAGAGGCGTCGGGAGCTCCAAGGTTTCTAGCAAAGCTGGAGCAGTCACCTGCCCTGCTGCTCTAGCTCTGAAGGAGTGCCCACAGTGTGAGCTCACCGGGAGCAGCCGCCAGGAAATGCCCTCGCTCCGTGTCTAGGGAAAGCGATGGGATGACACAAGAGCCATGTGCACCCTCCAGGCAAACCTTCCCGGCCCCCAGAGGAAACATATTGGCTGGAGGATTTATACCCCTGCACCCAAATGGGCAGGGGCAGAGAGGGAGGGAGGGCAGAGAAGCGTGAGCTGGGAAGGTTGGAAGAGTGGGTAGAGAAGCAGCCTGAAATCATCGGCGTGCCCCAGGCAGGTTACCCGTGTGTGCACACACCCCAGCCCTAACCCTGTTTTTCCCAGGGGAGGGACTGATCCATACAACCTCCCAACTTACAGAGCTGTGTCAAGAAAGGAAACCTAAACAGGACAGCAGTTTTCACAAAAAAAACTCACAGCAAGATGCTGCTGCCTCGGTTTGGAGCTGCTTTTCAACTTTTCCCCCACTACAGTTTCATCATCAAAAATAATTTCATTTATTAAAAAAAGCCCTCACACTTCTTCTAGATAGTTTATTTTGTTATTTAGTTAAAGAACTGGCTGATTAGGACACTTCTGAGTGACTGCTTTGTCAACACTTTCCTCCTGAATCCCAGTCAGGATGTCAAGACTATTGGCAGCACTTCAGCTTTTCCCAAAAGTCAACATTTTTTCCTCCATGGAGAGTTGGGAAAAGAAGCAATATGTTACTTTCTTCAACATAAAAGTTTATTATTTGGTCAGCTCTTCCTGTTGAGGCAGAGGAGACACCACATTCAGCACCACAGGGCAGGGTCAGACCAAGATCCAAGGTGTCCCTGTCCATATGCTCCCTGAAGATCTTAGATCAAACTCCCTTTGCTCCCAGCCTTTGCCCTTTCCTTCAGCCTTGCCCTGGGAACAGGCTTTTTGGGAAGCTTAGCCATCTATTTTGTTAATGAAAAGGACTGTACCTGGGAGACCTGAGCTGTGCAACACCTCCTAAAGATGCCAGGGCTTACAAAAGCTTCACAAATCCACATGGATTTTGAAATGAGACTAATTAACCACTGAAGCAGCTTAAAGTGCAAGATGGTGGAGCCTCCGTTACACACAACTAAGCCAAGGCTGGGCACCTTTCTAGGGTAGACAATGAGCTTGAAGCAGGAGATCAGAGACAACCCCAAGTGAGCTGCTCTCACCCCCTGGGCAGCATTCAGTGTCCATGTCGAGGAAGTCTAGGATGGATTTTCTCCTTCCTTACAACTCCTGGATGGAGCATGTGAGTAGGAGGCTGGGTTCCTGTGCTGAAAGAAGGTACCTGCTTCTATCTCAGTAGAGAAACATGTGGTGACTTGCCTGTCCCACTGTGAAGGGAGGCAGGTGAGATACAGTGTGGGCCAGAGAAGGTGGCAGAGGTGGATTTGAAAATAAGACAGATTGTTGCCCAGCCCCATCATGCCTGGCCTGTGTGAATGTGTTTGAAAAGAATGAGTTTTCTCAGCCCAAAACCTCTGACATCCTTGGCATGAGCAAAGCAGCCAGGCATCACTAGTATATCCTGTGCCACACAAGGAATGAATAACTGGGGAGGATGTCATGAATCTGCATCTTCCCTGATTAATTCACCAGTAAATAGCGTTCAGGTCATAGAGGGGTTGATTTCCTGGTGAGTCCTTCACAGCTCCTCCTGATGTTTACATCCTCCTGCCTGTGGTCAGCAGGACCTGGGATGCTGAGGATGCTGATGTGAGAGTGGGCTGGGGAGATGGGGCTGCTCAGGGTGAAGGTTTCTGGGCTTCATGTGAGAATTACACAGAGAGACTCTCCTAATCCTCCCTGTGTTTGAGACTTCTTTCTCTCAAAGCTTCACCCAAAGTCCTCAGCTCCTTGCAAAGACTTTCTGCCTTCTCTTCACCTTCCTTCTAACATGTGACATCTCAGCTCACTCAGATGTGTCTCTTCTGCACCAGGATCTGCAAGGAAACCTCTTGGATGAGGTTTGTTCCTCATCCTGTCCCTTTAGCTGTTCTCTTCATGCTCCCTGGGACTGATGCCATCTTGCAAGAGCCCACATAGAAACTTTATAGGATCAGAGGCTGGTTTGGGTTGGAAGGGACCTTTACCCCCTGCCCTGAGCAGGGACATCTTCAACCAGAGCAGGGTGCTCAGAGCCCTGTCCAGCCTCACCTGGGATGGTGCCAGGCATGGGGCACCGACCACCTCTCTGGGCAACCTGGGCCAGGGGCTCACCACCCTCACTGTAAAATATTTCTTCCTTCTCTCTAGTCTAAATCTCCCTCTTTTAGTTTAAGAAGATCTGAGGCAATGTCCCATGGGACCTGTTTTGATCTGGAGAGCCTCATCCCAGCTCTCTGTCTCTCTGTCACCCCGTGGGCAGGCAGCAGGTCCAAGGGTTTTGCAGGGAGGGAGGAGAGAGGAGGCAGTGGAAGGGACAGGGGCTTCACAGGAGCTGAGCCTGCAGCCTCAGGGCACTGTGGTGGGGAAGCAGTTCTGCTGCTGGTGCCACCACAACAGGGAAGTGGGGACTCTGGCAGGGAAGTCTGGGAGAATCCCATTGCTTAACTCAAGGCTGGTCCTACCTTCCTTCTCCTGTGGCACCACAGATGAAGGATTCCACCTGAACTGCTGATGAGGCTTTTCTTTTTTAAAAAAAAAAGCCCCTTTGGAGAAGCTGTGGCTCAGAGACACGTGTCCTGGCCGGTGTGGGGCTGTGACTGTTGGCAGAGGGGCAGCAACAACCAGCTGGGGCAGGGAGGGTGAGGTGGGAGCGCTGGCATCCCACGTCCCCGCTGCTGGTTGCTCAGCAAGCGTGACTCAGAGCCCTGGGGTGGAAGGAGACAAAACAGCTCAGCTCCATTCTCACCACGAGCGAGGCAGGGGACGACTCAGGAAGCAAACTTGGGCATTTTGGCTCAGCAGTGCCCTGCTGCATCACTCTACCTGTGCCCAGGAAAGCCCTGAAGCAGCCTGGACAGGCTCCATCCCACTGCCA